GGATTGCAAATTATTATTAGCTCGCGCGGAGTACGTGATTCCGTGAACGCTGTTTCGCGTGCAAACACACGACCATAATTGTTAGCTTTACCCGCAACAACCGACGCATTTGTTTACAATAACTGGTTCCTCGTTCGACTTGTAACATCCCCGAGTGATTCAATCCCCGTTAAATCCCCCGCGACCCCTGTCAGACGCCGTGTGTTTTTTCAAATGTTTCCAGATGCAACAGCGCACGACGCTTCGCTGAAAATTAGAAGATAAATTCCTTTATCGTATAGGTAGATCGTTCCTTTATGGTTAACGTTTTCGTTAGTTAGAAACGCGATAAATTAGTTCTTGCTAACAGTCGTTTGGGTGATTGTGTAGCGCAGTGGAAAGTAACCAATAGCAGTGAAATCAAGCAGCGACCTATGATAGTGTAGCTACTCGTCCATGGTGTAATCAGTGCAACATTAACCCGTAACCATTGAATTGAAAACCTTTGTTCTTGGTGTACGACGTGTAATATCTCTAAACATTTTCACATATATATTTAGCCTTCTTCAATTTAAAATGAAAATTTAAATCGGACAAATTAGTTCCAGGAAATACTACGAAGGTAGTATATTTACGTAGCGATAATTTCCGTAAGAGCACCACGCGAGTCCATCTTACCAGACAAACATTTTTCACTTCAGATGGAAACGTGGGATCCGTTAATTCCGAAACTTCGCCGTTAATTTCTCCGACGCTTCATCTTCTTCCCCTTTCTCAATTTTCCACCCTTCCCTGTTCCCTCCACCGTCAAAATTTCCTCGTCTGACGTTTCCATAAACACAAGTAGCAAATCCATTTATCAAAACCAGAATTACAGCGGTTGTTTTATATTTATTAGGAGTGTTTCGAGTCTCATAAGAAGCTCGACGCTGTCTCAATCTTGACTACATAATTTCTGAGAAACCTCGATTTTTTTTCCATTACCGTAAATGCAGGGAGACTCACTGACCCACTGATTAATAGTCAAAATTTTCTTTTAAAAATTACAAATCCATTTCCAGACTTTTAATTATATTCTATACCCCTCCTCACGTTTAATTCCTCGCGAATTCTACCTAACAAAGCAACTCGACGTCAAACAGGAATTCAAGGAATCTCGAGCTCCCAAAGGATGGCTGTACTACATAGTTCTTGGAAGCTTGCAAAAGATCGAGTCCACTTCTGCTTTCAATTCTTCCAGCCACTTTGGTTCCGGCGTGGGTCGTAACGATGCCACCGTAGAGACGGGATAGAAATTTATGCTAAGCACACTTACACACTTATTGAGTTAATAACGAAGTTCGGGACAGTGCAGGGACGTTTGCATATTCTGGGGTTCGACCACCGCCGCCCCCTACTTCTCTCCAACGGAGCTTCGCGTTTGGAATACATCAAATTAACCGAAGGCTCGATGTACAGCGGTTTCCGCGAGTAATGAGGAAACTTTTCAAAATTATCCGCTCGCTGCAAGCCTGACGCGAACATTTTAGAATCGCCGCGAACTTTGGATTCATTGTAGAACCTGTGTGTGTCTGTCAAGCGCAGATCACGCGCTCGCGAGTGGTTTTTCTGGTAATCGTGATTGCGAAATAATTCCATCGGTGCCTTGTCCATTTTGGATTACACTGTCTGGGAGCCTGGGTCTGGAACGATCTGGCGCATTCAGTTCTTCATAATTTGAATTACGGGGTATGGAGCTCGTATAGCTCAATATATACGTAATTTTTAATTTAAAACGTTAAATAATTCATAAGAAACTAATAAAAATCGATTTTAGTCACTACATTAAGTACATAAATAACTTTTATGTAATGCCAATACGTATGTATTTCGCAAGTGTCCGAATTTGAGCGGTAGCGTATGTACAAAAACAATCTTCTTAGATTTCACAAGCTAAAGCCAAATATCGAATTTTTAATTTTTGTTGACGCAGTACTAATGAAAATATGCTAGAAATCCTAAAAATACACTGTCTCCTGTATCAATAATATATCCAACTTTACTGTCCAACTGCGTTTTCCATATCCCAGTAGATTCATCCAGACATAGCCAGACACGTTCAAGAACACAGGACATCAGAGAGACCCAGTCGCGAGCAGAACCCAGGGCCTCACGTGCACGACGCTCGCAAGGGTTCATTACACGTAAACGCGCGAAACCAGTTAGTCAAACCTCGGCGTAAACGTCAGATCCACACCATCTTGAACCACTTCCGGCTTCAATGCATTTCGCCGCGGAATCTGGTTGCACCGTGTTACGCTCGACTCGCGAATCTGTTCTCGACAGCCACGTCGTTTCTTTCCTTGAGCTCCAACAGGGTTTCTTAGACGATTAAGAATGCCTTCAGCCAGTTTTATTTACTGCTTCGCGTTTGTTTTAGCTGCGAGGAAACCAGGGATTTACATGGAAACTTCAGGAGCTGTTATTTTGTAAAAGACGAGGGTCTACAAGAATTGGCATAGTTACGTCATTTTCCAATTTTTCTTCGTAATTGAAAATTATTTTCGTGCTTCGATACATGCAAGAGTCGACACAGGCAATTTTTAACGAATCAAGGAATCCAATTTCTATACAAAAATTAATATAGAAGGTCATTTTCCGATCCATTCGGGCACGTGTCCTTCCTTGGAGGGTTGAAGGTCGCGATTTGACTATCATCTTTCCGGGTCGCGGGGTTCGGGTGACAACACGGCGTGCTTTCGGTAATCCAACGCAGAGTATTAAATTCCCTCGTTGAACGCGTGTGCTCCATAGCCTCCTCCTCGTCTCGCGATGAATCGATGCGTCGCGAAACTCGAACCACGAGGGTGGATCGAATTCGGCAGGATTGCATCGCAAAAACGAATCATGGTGTTGCTGATAACTGGAGTTAACAAAAAATTAATCGTTACCGCACCGTGACCTGCGCTTTGCGTTTAGAATGTTGGTGGTGATATGGTGGCAACAGTTTGAAATGCTCTTAACGACTTGGAAGATTTTCGAGCCTGGAGAGATATGAATTCCAGTAGTAATATGGAATATTGGTCAGACATATTAGTGCACCGTCTCTGAATCGCAAAGTTTCAAATGGATTTGCAAAACAAATTTTCTGGAGAATAAAGTCTCGTATAGGAACAACTCTTCCCACGTTTCAACCTTATTTTTGGATGCAGAATCATACCGTGTCTGGGACTATTATTCTAACCTAAATTAGAACGAAGACCTCAGTAGCAACGAAGATACACATGTAGGTATTTATTCTGCAGTGTTATTGAAAGCAGCAGGGACATTTTCAGTCACTATCACCTCAATTATCAAAGTAGCCTCGAGGATTAAAGCCAGGGGTCAAAGGAGACCCTGACACCAACCAAATTACACACCGTGGATATTTATTCTGCACCTTTCAAAGAGACGTAGACACGTCGAGCGACTATCTCAGCTCAACCCCTCAAAGTAACTCGAACTATTGAACCGAAAATTGGGTCAAAGAAGCCTGTGGTCATCGTTCAGGGTTAAAGGAGGTCCACGTCGAGGTCAGGCGGTTCGAAAATCCAGTGCAAAAAACCCAGCACGGTTATCTGTTCCTTTATGGCGCGGTCTTCGCGAGTCGAGGCCGCTATCTGCGACCATAATTCCCCATTAAACCTCGAGGCTGATGCGTGCACCGCTGGATTCTGTTCCGTTCTTCCGTCCTCTTTCGCTTCTTCTCCACTTCTCGCCATAGTCGAGCCTCCGTGCTCCTTCTTCAGCGAGAGGGTATTTATGACGCGCCCGTGGAAAACATTCGCCGTATATCACGGAACAAACTTACATGAACTCGTGCTGGGGGAGGAGGAGGAGGCCTGCAAAGTAACCTTTGTACGTGTATCTGTTTCGCCGTGAAAGAACCCCGTACGATCACTCGCAGGATGTATTACCTCCAGCGGTTTCCTTCTTGCGTTCTTTGTTAAATCTGCAGCGGCAATGTCGCTATCAATTTTCCGAACAATGTAATCGAATACCGTTTTCCGGTATTTCTGTTATTTTCTGGAATGGCTCGCGCTACTTGAACGACCGTGGAAGGGATGATACAACGGACGGTTTTTAATCCGTGTTTTTATCGTGGACCGTTTTTCACCCCTGTTTCATCGAGGAATTCCTTTGATTATATAAATATTTGGAAGAGACCCAGCTACCTTAATTGCTACAGTTTACATTTACTCAAAGCGATTTATATATTTTAAATATTTCTGTAAATTCAACGTGGATTTAATTTACATGACGCCGAAGATGTTGACGAGGTACACGTTTCATCGAGATTGGAATGTATTCCGCGTTCATGTAGGAATATGTAAATCAAAGGACTTCGGTGAATAAAAGCACGTACCTGGTGTTCCAGATTTTGTAAAGTCTATTCATTCGAAACAAAAAGATGACGCTATTTCGTATTCAACGCGAGCATAATCGTGGTCAGGGACGGAACGAAACAAAAATATCGAAGCCAGAACTAGAAATGAAAAAAATTGTTCTACTGACTCCTGGTACATACAATTTTCTTTCCTCGTCCACTATAGAGTATCCAAATCACAAACTTCCTTGAATTTAGAACCATACTTAAAATTTCCATATAAAATACGAAGAAGAAAAAATAATTTTTTTTTCTTTAACGCCTAAGCTGGAGCAGAACACTCGACCCCATCCCCGGTTTCGTCGGCTCGTAGAATATATTTCGCGTACGTCGCTAGGAAAAAACTTGGAGGAACTCATCTCGATGGAGGGAGCCTCTTTCCAGGCAAGATATTAAAGGGGAGCCCTCCCTCGAGCCGTTGTCCAAAATTTCCGCGGAAGTTTCTCCTCCCGCCAAGAAATCCGCACTACGGCGCAGAGGGGGTGGGTCGGAAGATTTCTTCATTATTTCGCGCGTCGAGGAACCCTGGATTCTTTTGTGGGGGGGGGGGGGGAGGACGCTCCGAGCGTATTGTCGTTAGAGGATTTATGCGATCCTTTCGTTTTTCTGTTTACAGAGACACGGAGCTCCATGCCGCCGATGATGAACGAGAAGGTGGTTTATATGTCGGTGCGCCTGAAAGACACCATTGTGATACCCTGCGTCGCGTACGGCAACCCCACCCCCACCAACAGGTAAGCGATTCCTATGTTTCACTTTAGATATTTTGGTAGTTATCTAGTCACAATTTTTGAGTCTTGTAGGTCTGTGTACATAGAGGCGATATTGTAGGTTCTTTTTTAAATATATGGTAGGTTGTTTCATCGTGGATGTAATGAGATCGAAAGAGGTGAATTTAGACAGAATTAATTCCAGATTGGTTTCATACAGTTCGTGGATGTGTTATAAATCCATAAACTCTGTATGCATTCATAAATATTTGAGAAATTCATAAACTTGCAATAAATACATGAATATTCTATAAACACATGAATTTTCAAGTGAATTTACATGCGCATACCTCATTAAATGTATGCGAATATTACAACTCAATACGATTTTATAAAGAACGAATTGAAAAGAATCTTAAAAAAGAAATTCACGTCCTAACTTACGATAATAAAAGATGCCTCCCGAAGCCCCCGTGTTTAATTTACATCGTTTCAACCACGTTGACTGCAAGCTCCCAACAACGACGAATAGCAAATACCATAACAGGAGAATTTTTCTTTCCCCATTATAAGCATATAATACGTCCAGAAAGTTCCTGGCAAATTTTCTGTTAAACCTACACGCGCCTTTCTTCGGGACGAGCGCAGGACTCGGGGCTGCTTGAAACGCATTATTCCGTATTCCATAAAGCAACAAACGAACGAAAGAGTTCTCCATAAACCTGTCGCTCCGTAATTGCCGACTTTGGCAGGAGCGGTCCTCGAGCACGGTTCGCTTACTTACCAAAACAGTTTTCCAATACAACTGGGGCCGATGTATTTGCGAAGTTTAATTGGCTCGGGGCGCGGGCTGGTCTTGCTCGTGAAAAATATTTTGATCCTCCCCAAAGCATCGGGGGAAAACTTCTGGTGGACTTGTCGACAACAACGGGGCTCGCGAGCTCTTTCGTTTTATGTTTCGTTCATTTCATAATAAACGCGGCGTAGATCCTGTTAACAGCCTGTAGCCGGTGTAACGAGCACCATTTAGTAATATGTGGGTTTAAAAAGCAGTCGATGGTGTTGCCTTCATCACCTGAAAATGGAAACACACCCTTCATGGAGAGGGAGCTCCACAAAAAATATTAAATTTTATAGAAGATATCGAGTAATATTCTTCATTTCCATGTTTTGTGCTAAATTATTATCGGATTGCGGATGCTTATGCATTAATGACAAGTGGAAATATGCAAAAATGACGAGACATCTTTCATTTACACCTCGATTCTTTGTCTGAATCTGAATCTGTGTCTAATTATTATGAATTCTATACTTTAGAAGACTCAGTTCTCGAGTCCAAACGTGATTGAATGCTTCTGTAGTGGGCCCTATCTTCCCCTGTTTATTTACATATATCATCAAGCTTTCAACACGTGAATTTTTTATTAAACACAACTCTAGTTTACTTAGGTGGGCCTGTAATAATCCAGGGACAACTTGAACTAGTCGATATATAATGGAGGGTACCAGTAATATTGTATCGTGCTGACAATATGATTTTCGGTTCCGTTCCCGTTTCCATTCTCTTCCCGGCATCTCCTAGCGCTCTCATTCATCCCTGAGGCCGGTGTAAATGTTCCGGTATGCAATTTAACGGTAAGCAGCCATTTACTGTACGCTGGTGGCCGAGCCAGGTCCGCGTAATCCGCTGTTAAAGTAGAAGGCAACGCTTGTAAATTAAAGGCTGCTCTTCGGATTAATAAGACATCCAGTTGCGTCCCGGAATTATCGTCGAATCTCCGACCTCGGCCAGCTTCCGCCGGGGCTGTTAAATCGTTGATGATAATCCACGTCGACAACCCCACCACGGAGTGGAACGAATGATCGTTAATCGGCGAAAATCTCAAGTTACCTCCAGTTCTTTGATTAAGTATGAATCCGCGTTTTAAAACCTGGAGCAAAGCTGTGGAAACGAGGTCGGTTCGACGATCTTTTCAGGAATTTATTTCAGGTTCATTTGACAATATATATCGTCAATTTTAGAAACAGAATTAATAATTAAAAATCGATATATTAGGGAACCCAAATATATCTATGGAATGCGCTGCAATGTGGAACGTTCTGTTATGACTTTATAAAAAGATGAAGGGTTCTCCATAAAAAGCACGACGTTGAGGAATTTTCATTTTTGGGCTCAAAGTCGTCCGAATTGCAACGCGAATCATAAACGATAACAAGAATTTGACCGAAGAAAACAAGATCTTCGCGCAAAGCATTCTTGGAAGTTGGATAATGCGAGCGAACAGCCTGCGTTTCTCTGTTTCTCTTGTATTAATGCTAATTTCAAACATAGTTCCGGGCTCTGGTATTTCGCGTGGGCGAGGTATTTTCAGCGCTGAAACGACGGAACACGCGGAGTTCATCGATGCGTACTGGTACATTATACAAGAAAGGGGGGAGAATATGGGAGAAGGAAGAAAAAGGTGACTCCCGTCTTTGACAAGCGGAATTCCCTAGCACAGATCGTCCCCTTCTACAAGTCGACAGGCTACAAGCGACGAATTTCCTGATACTGGAATGATACTTCAAGTTCCGATGAAAATTCTTCATTCATACTGTCGATGTTAACCTCCTATGAAACATTTCCGGTTACTCGAAAACAATATACGAGAAGACCCTTCATAAACTCTAATAAAGAGAAATAATTTAACTTCTTTCAAAACAACAGCTTCACTAAGCTTTCAATAAACTTCTTTTTGGTTTTTATTTTTCTCATAGCTTCTCTTTTCTTTCATCTAACAACATGCTTTGCCTGTTCCTTAACTCGAAGAATTTTTTAGTTACTTGCAAAGACCTTTGACAGCGCTTTAAATAACATAAATGTGAAATAATCATCTTAATAAACTCAGAAATAGGGAAACATAATGTATAACTGATACTGAAAATAATGCACGCTAAATTATATTGAAAGAGGCGTTTCGATGGCATATTAGAAGTTTAATGCGCTTATTACACGATAACAAAAGGAACGAATCCGAGCGATTCGTCGTTCCAGAGATCGTATACTTGTAACGGGACGATAACAAGGTTATTAAACGATGAACAAGGCTACTTTACGTTTCTGTCTCCGGGCGACTTCGAAACGGGAAACGAAAGAGGCTCCTACCGAGTTCGCTCGAGTCCCCTACAACAAGATTATCATATCGGATCACTGGGATAAAAACTAGTTTGTTTTCGCGTTTGACGAAACGGAAGGATGATCGTAGATCACAAGCCATCGAACTTTGTGCCCATCCGATACACCGCGCTTCTTTTGCCAATTTTTTCGAGTTCGCGAATCTCGTTATACGATTCATGAGGCGGGACTCGTACAAATGAATGGGATAAATTATGATTCCACGTTGTCTCGCGATATTTTTTCACAGTCCATTCCAAATTTTATGTTGCTGGTATTCAAATATAATCATTAGACTCCAAAAGTTTACGCATTTGCAAAATCAATACGATTGTTCACGAATAAAAAATGTACAGACTTCGCGCACACGCAAGAGTTGGAGAGATTGAAAATCTAACTAAACAAGCTGATCGCGAACCGCCACCTGCTGTACCATACTTAATGATTTTTCGCGACAGGACATTTTTTTTCTCAGAAAATCCGTTCATTGTTTTGTGACGCACTAAGACATAATTGTAACGGAACGTTTTTTGTTACTACAGTAAAATCTCATATGCACAAAGTTGTATACGATAAATGCACAGAAACCATTCCTACTGCGGACCACTAATACCAGCTACGACTCCTTGATGTTCTCCCTGTTAATCTAAATATAATTTCACTTGACGCTTTACACTTTTGCACATTACGCTTTGCACTTTTGCAGTTTACACTTTACACTTTTGCACTTTACACTTTTTATATCTAAAGATCTTATTACAAGTACGCAGCCATTAGCTCGCTATTACTCGCGACGAAAGATTGTTCGTCACGAATAATACCGATTACCAGGTCTCACCACGTGGAGGTTGCTGCGACTGGAGACCCGAAGATAGAAGGAATCAAAGTTCCTTCGATCTCCCTCTACATAGAGTATACATACGTAGATGCATACTCTACGTAGAGCAACGAGCTTAATACTAAGTACGAAACGGTGGAAATCAAAGAAAGCAAAGTCCCTTTGATTTCCAAAGTCTATGTCTGACTCTGCCAAATAATTATTTCAAGTAAATGGAAGTTAAATGGAAATCGCGACACGACGCGACCATGTAACTGGACTTACAGAGTCAGTCCCGTTTCCTCTGGTGGGTCTGATTCGAGAGAAAGACGATCAACGTCTCCGCCAGTACTCTACTCCCTGCATACCTGCTGCCGAGAGCCCAGATCCAACCTTACAGTGTACGACGTAGGTAGCACCGCGTCAGGTTGCCCTGCCCTGGCGACACCAGGTATGTCTGACGGTCGTAGAGTCCCGAAACGGAGTTCTACTCTCTGCACAACGTCAAGAGTCCAGGGCACGGCTTGCATCCGTCTGACGACTCTTTTGAGCTACGCTGCACCGGGAGCCTGGACTTCGCTTGACGCGTACAGAGAGTAGAAGATTCCACGGAGGCGTCGATTGACCCTCTCTCAAATCAGACCCACTAGAGGACGGCAACCGATCTCGGCCAGTCACATGGTTGGTCACAACACTTATCACATCAAGCAGTAGTGACCGAAGTGGAGCACGAAGTTGCGAGTCCAATATGGATTTACGAACAAACAAAACAAGTTGATTAATAATTATTTGGCAGAGGAGACACTCGTACACGCAACCTTAAAACTAACCAAACCAAACTAAGATACTAAGGGAAACTACAAATAGGAAGGACACGAGACGCGGACGCGCGATCGCGAGATCCATATCGAACGAAGGATCAACGATGAATGAGCTCTCGCTCCTCGCATACCTGCTAGGGCGCGGTCGTGCGTCGTAGATTGTTTGTGCCTCTCGAAGTAGAGAAGGGAAGGGCGAACAACAAACGCGTGACATGTCGTGACATGTCGATTC